ATCCAAGAAGTCCGCGCGGACCTCAAACAGTTCCTGCTTCTACCGTTTTGTCTTTTTTTGTTCGAAGGAGAAGGCAGGGCGAGAACAAGGGAAGGTTCTGGGTACCAGTGTGCCCAGACATCCGACGTCGGATGCTGTCCCAGACGGTGCACTTTTTCTTTGACGGCCCCGACGCCCGGCGAGCGCCGTTTTTTCTCTCCTTCGACCTTGGGGCGCTGACGAGGAGCCCGAGCTCGCGGCACGCGAGCGACGCCGCCCCCACACAGAGGCCCCCGTCGCCCATGTTGGGGCAGACGAAGACGCGCCGCACACCCGGCAACCCCTCGCGCACGCGCATGTTCAGGCGCACGTTGGCGAAGACGCCGCCCGCCAGGCAGAAATCCGGACGCTGCCGGAAGCGGCCGTGGCCCAGCCTGACTGCCTACGAGACCACCCCAGTCCAACCCGAAGACTTATGTTGCTCCCATCGCACTTACGGGCCACATCCCAGAAATCATTTCGAGCACCCGGAAGAGTGTCGAAAGAGTGTCGAAACAGTGTCGACACAGTGTCTCCCAGGGCCCGACACGTGAAAACCCTCGAGTTTTTGGGTACTTGTTTGGTGCTCGAAATTCTTTCCGGTGGTTAGAGCGAACATCATAACCGAAAACCCGACTCTGAACCGAATTTCGGGCTGGGAGGGGGTACGGGCTCCATGTGCTTCTTCAATGTCCCCGGCCCCCCCCCCACTGGAAATGGAGGGCGGATTGAGGCCTTCGGGTTGGGTTGGGGTGGTTTGGTGGGTCGTGGCCTAGTCTGCTCCAAGCCTCTCGCGCCATGGAGCCCCAGGGGTTAGGTCGGGCGTGTCCCCCTACAGGCGGATCGGGGACCCACCCCATGCTCAGAGCTATAGAAACTTACGCCAAGAGTGGGCTTCGCTCCACGCGTTCTGTTGAAGCAGTAGTCCAGGTCCCGACACACGAATCTTGTACGGAAAAAAATCCAAGAGAACGCCCAGGGTCCCGTCCAGACTCTCGACGGGCTTCAATGAAACCTGGAGGCCACGAACGTCGCTGCGCTGGCTTGAGGCTTCTGATCGGTGTGCCCTGGGCCAGGGCCACCCCTAGCAGCGCCCGAGAGGTGGGGGCGGGCGAAGCCGTTGCGCTCCAGGTAGCGCAGCAGCAGCTGCTCCGTGAACCGCTGCAGGCCGGCCGCGACGTCCTCCCGCGCGTGCCGCCCGAGCTCCTCGGCGAGGCGGAAGGACTCCGCGCGCTGACTGCCCGTGGTCCCGCCCTCGAGGTGGGCGAGGTACAGCTGGAAGTTGCCCGTCTCCTCCCGAGGAGCGAAAGACAACCATGAGCATCATATTTCGGAACTCCGCGCGGATTTCCTGGATCGGCGCTGGGCCCTTCTGGCGGCGTCTCTGGCGCCGCCCCTGGCGCGCTCCGCGCGCCAAGGCGGGGGGGCCCAGCGCCGATCCAAGAAATCCGCGCAGAACTCCCAAACACGTTGCTGATACCGCTTCTGATTCATGTTACAGTTGTGTTGAGCGTGAGAAGTGTTAATATGTCTGTTGCGATTTTCCTGACCATGGTGACTAGTATCACTTTTCCTTCATGAGATTACGATTGTTCCTCTTTTTCTCAAGGTTGGTATTACTATGTTTGTTTGTGTCCGTAGCATCCTTGCATTATTGCTACTATTCGTATTGTTTTGCTTCGTGCTGCAATTCTGCGCCGAATTGAAAAGCAGCGGTCTTCTTCTTATGCCTGCTCCTCTTCGATCCTCCGCCGACCAGCGCGCCCGGATCCGCCAGCGGCCACTCACGGGGTCCTCGACGAGCCCCATCTCCGCCTCGAAGATGGGGAGGGTCTTCGCGGGGTCGCCGTGGCCCGCCAGCCCCGTCACCTTCCCCTCGTGCCGGAACGGCTTAAAGCCCAGCGCCGCCGTGACGAAGGCCCAGAGGAGCCCGACGCTGTCGAACATGGCTCGGGCGCTCGTGAACGGGGGGGGGGGGGCAGGCGGGGGGCGACGGGGCGCGCGCCCTTCCAGCACCCGGGGAGGCCGAGGGGGCTGAAGCGCCTGCACCTTGCCGGCACCGCTGGGGCCCGCGCCCGCAGCCCCGGGGCCGCTCGGGGCCCCGCATCGGCCGCCCTGCTGCCATCCCCTCGACCTCCCCGCGCGCTGCCCCCCATCCTGGAGGGGGAGCGCAGCACACGGGGAGGTCGAGGGTTCGGTCGGGCTTGTCCCCCTACAGGCGGATGTTGGACGAGAAATCAAAATATTCAAGACATGATCAAAAATACTAAGAAAATCGTCCCCAGACTATCTTTGGACTGTTTTCGGATATTCCTCCTGTAGACTAGAGGGACACGCCCGACTTCAACCTTCCCAGCACCGCTGGGGCCCGCGCCTGCAGCTCCGGGGCCTTTGGGGGCCCCTCTGGGACCACCGTCCTGCAGCCCTCTCGACCTCCCCGCTGCGCTGCCCCCCCCCGCCGCCGAGCGCCCGCATGGTGGTGCTGTCGACGACCTCTGACGAGACGAGGCACCGATGATGCTACAGTCGAGGCGTGGTCAAAGGGACGCGCGTCGAGAACAGGAGCCCCGTCGCCGAGGGCCACATGCTCCACGGAGATCGGGGGCGCGCAAGCGTGAATTGGCGATCCATGGATTTGGCGCGCGGTCGCCAAATCCATGGATCGAGGGAGGCGCCCTCCCCAAAATGCGGCCGGCGCCGCCTCGCTCGGTGGCGGAAATCCGCCATGTCCCTTGGAAACGGGACCCGTCGCTGGCCCACGCCCCCTTGAGCCACGTTTGCGATCGCCTCGGGAGATACCCAAAACGAAGAGCACTACACGCTGGAGAGCCCCCACACACAAAAAAACACGCACAAAGGGCCCCAAATCCAAAGGCAGGGTCGCGCTCAACCCTCGTGCCAGGTGCGGGGGGCCCTCAGGGAATCGGGCCCTGGACCCCGGGGCGCCCTCTTAGGTCGGGCGTGTCCCCCTACAGGTTGGATTTTCGACGAAGAATGAAAAATGCCGAGAAAAAAAAAAGAACGCGCGAAAATACTTCTAAAAAATAAAGTTATAAAAACAAAGCCCCCGACTATGTATTTTCCATGATTTTTGAATCGACTTGAGCGTTCTCTGGGATCGGCCTCTCGCCCCCGTCAGCTCCTGGCGGCCCCCTGGAGGCCCGGGGAGGGCCCCGGGGCCAACAGCGCTACGCAGACCGCCAGGGGTGCCCCGCTGTTCTTGTTTTCCCGCTGTTCTTGCACTCCCCAGACCCCTCCCACGGCGCGCTCCGACCAGCCTTTCGAGGCGAATCCGGCCGCGGCGGCGAAGTCCCTCCAGGACGAGCAGCTGAGCGGATGCATCGGTATGTGTATATATGTATATGTGTATATATATATATATACATATATATATATATATATACAAATATTTATATGGACAGCCCCCCCCCCAGCGCCCATTCTTGGCCTCTGGTGTTTTGGCGATGTTATACGCTCCTCTTCCTTTCCTCCTCTCTCTCTCTCTCTCTCCCTCCCTCCCTCCCTCTCTCTCTATCTCTCTCTCTCTCTCTCTCTCTCCCCCCCTTGTGCGCTTCAGAAGAAGAGGAGGACGACGAGGAGAAGGAGGAGGAGGATGAGGAGGAGGAGGAGGAGGAGCTGGAGGAGGAGAAGGAGGAGGGGGAGGAAGAGCAAGAGCGACAGAGAGAGGAACACAGAGAGGGACACAGAGAGAGACTGAGGGAGAGGTAGAGAAAGGTGGAGAGAGAGAGAGAGAGAAAGAGAGAGAGAGAGAGAGAGAGAGTTGAGGGAGCAGCGATCCCTCTGGAATCACAGGGTTAGCGTCGTCAGGGGTCGCCAAACCCTGTATTTTCATTTGGATGTTTGGGATTTCTGGGATGAGAATCAAGGAAACCATGCGTTTTCATTTGGATTTTTTCGATCTTTGGGATTTTCTCTTTCCAGAGAATAACAACCCAGGAGCCTCCGAAGCTTCAGAACCTTAGAAATCCCAGAAATCCCAAAAATCCTAATGAAAACACATGGTTTCCTTGATTCTCATCCCAGAAATCCAAAAAAATCCAAATGAAAACACAAGGTTTGGCGACCCCTGACGTCGCTAATCCTGTGATTCCACAGCGATCGCTGCTCCCTCAACTCTCCCTCCCTCCCTCTCTTTCTCTCTCTCTCTCTCTCTCTCTCTCTCTCTCTCTCTCTCTCTCTCTCTCTCTCCCCCCACACCTGTGCGCTCCAGAAGAAGAGGAGGACGACGAGGAGAAGGAGGAGGATGAGGAGGAGGAGGAGGAGCTGGGCCAGGAGGAGGAGAAGGAGGGGGAGAAAGAGCAAGAGCGACAAAGGAGAGGGACCAAACCCTGTGTTTTCATTTAGATGTTTGGGATTTCTGGGATGAGAATCAAGGAAACCATGTGTTTTCATTTGGATTTTTTGGATTTGTTGGATTTTCTCTTTCCAGAGAATAACAACCCAGGAGCCTCCGAAGCTTCAGAACCTTAGAAATCCAAAAAAAAAACAAAAATCCAAATGAAAACACATGGTTTCCTTGATTCTCATCCCAGAAATCCAAAAAATCCAAATGAAAACACAGGGTTTGGCGACCCCTGACGTCGCTAATCCTGCGATTCCACAGCGATCGCTGCTCCCTCAACTCTCCCTCCCTCTCTCTCTCTCTCTCTCTCTCTCTCTCTCCCCCCACCTGTGCGCTTCAGAAGAAGAGGAGGACGACGAGGAGAAGGAGGAGGATGAGGAGGAGGAGAAGGAGGAGGAGCTGGGCCAGGAGGAGGAGAAGGAGGGGGAGAAAGAGCAAGAGCGACAAAGGAGAGGGACACAGAGAAGGACACACAGAGAGACTGAGGGAGAGGTAGAGAAAGGTGGAGAGAGAGAGAGAGAGAGTTGAGGGAGCAGCGATCCCTGTGGAATCACAGGGTTAGCGTCGTCAGGGGTCGCCAAACCCTGTGTTTTCATTTGGATGTTTGGGATTTCTGGGATGAGAATCAAGGAAACCATGCGTTTTCATTGGGTTTTTTTGATTTTTGGGATTTTCTCTTTCCAGAGAATAACAACCCAGGAGCCTCCGAAGCTTCAGAACCTTAGAAATCCAAAAGATCCCAAAAATCCCAATGAAAACACATGGTTTCCTTGCTTCTCATCCCAGAAATCCCAAAAAACCCAAAGAACACAGGGTTTGGCGACCCCTGACGTCGCTAATCCTGTGATTCCACAGCGATCGCTGCTCCCTCAACTCTCCCTCTCTCTCTCTCTCTCAGAAGTTGAGGTCAACGACCGATGCAAAATCAATGGGCGCTGGGGGGGGGGCTGCGCTATATGGACTATATATATATATATATATATATATATAGTTGTATATATACATACATATAGAGAGAGAGAGAGAGAGAGAGAGATTCTCCTCCCCCCAACAACCTCTAGGTCCGGTGCCGGCCCCACGGCCGCCGCGGCCTTCGTCTTCTTCCCAGCGCCCCGCCGCCCCTGGGAGAAAGATTCTCGCTCGTGTTGGGGGGAAAAGGCTGGGAAGATACAAAATAGGAATGCGTAGTGAGCACCTTCAATTCAGTCGGGCGTGTCCCCCTACAGGGGGATTTCGACGATAAATACAAAAATATCCCAAAAGTGCCCCAGAATAATCAAAAAATGCTCAAAAAATCGTCCCCAGACTATTTTTAACTGCTTTGGAATATTCCCCCTGTAGAGGGACGTGCCCGACCTAAACCTTCAGCATTCTCCATGGTAGGGATGCTCTGCTCAGCTCTCCCAGCCCGATCCTCCCAACCCGAGACTCGCCTCTCTGGCCCTGCCCCGGCGCCTCCACCGGCGCGGGCGGCGGCGGCGGCGCCATGGTGACGCTGCCGGAGGCGAAGTCCCCCCGCCCGTCGAGGGTGACGCAGCAGCACGGGGGGCAGGCAGCGGCGGAGGGCCGGGGGCCGCAGCCGGGGCGGACAGCCCGCGGGGGGGGCCACGACCTTCGGTCGGGCATGCCCCCATGACAGGGGGCGAGGAATAGAACCCAAAATTAGCCTGGCGAAGGACTCAACCATATGCAGTTGTGGGTATCGCATTCGGGGGAGCCCCGCATGGGGCCACGAAACGCTGTACTGGGTGGGGGGGACGCATGCGAACTGCGCCACTGGGACCTTCGGTGGAGCTCTCTATGGGGCCACGAAACGCTGTCCTGGGTAGGGGGGAAGCATGCGAACTGCGCCACTTGAACCTTCGGTGGAGCTCCCTATGGGGCCACGAAGCGCTGTACTGGGTGGGTGGGACGCATGCGAACTGCGCCACTGGGACCTTCGGGGGAGCTCCCTATAGGGGCCACGAAACGCTGCCCTGGGTGGGGGGGCGCATGCGAACTGCGCCACTGGGGCCTTCGGTGGAGCTCCCTATGGGGCCACGACACGCTGCCCTGGGTGAGGGAACCGCATGCGGGCTGTGCCACTGGGACCTTCGGTGGAGCTCCCTATGGGGCCACGACACGCTGCCCTGGGTGAGGGAACCGCATGTGAACACCCCCACTGGGGCCTTCGGCGGAGCTCCCCATGGGGCTACGCAACGATACCCCGGGTGGGAGAACCGCATGCGGGCACCCCCACTGGGCCTTCGGTTGAACTCCCTATGGGGCCACGAAGCGCTGCCCTGGGTGGGGGAACCGCATGCAATCACCCCCACTGAGGTCTTCGGTTGAGCTCCCTATGGGGCTACGAAACGCTGCCCTGGGTGAGGGAACCGCATGCGGGCTATGCCACTGGGACCTTCGGTGGAGGGGGCTACGAAACGCTGCCCTGGGTGGGGGAACCGCATGCGGGCTGTGCCACTGGGACCTTCGGTGGAGCCCCCTTGGGCCACAAAACGCCGCCCTGGGTGGGGGAACCGCATGCGGGCTGTGCCACTGGAACTTCGGTGGAGCTCCCTATGGGGCTGCGAAACGCTGCCCTGGGTG